GGGGTGTTAAGGGGTTCTGGTTCCACAATGCCCCTGAAATGACAGGGTGAAGTGCATAATGTGGGCATAGCCTGAACACAGGGCACTGTGTGCATGGGCGCAGTGTGGGTATAGGGTATGTGTGAGGCAGGTGCTTCCCCTCTGAACTGCACCCCAGCTCTTGAGGAGACAGAGTGAAGGATGGCGAGGGTGTGGCCTACAGATCACAGCTCCATCCTGTGCGGCCCCCTTGTAGCCTCCCAGGCAGAGCGTTCCCAGGCCTTCCTGGAGGAGAGGCTGTTGCAGGACTCTGCAGACACTTGCCATCAGGCCATCCTAGGTCGCTGGGTTTTTGAAGAGGTTACTGTGATGTCCCTACGTCCATAGGTGGTTGTGTCTTCCCATCTCGAATGGCGGCCACTGAGTCGAGGGTGACAAGGGAACCAGAGCCACAGGGCGCTTCATGAGAAGTTACAGAGGTGATGCCTGCATGGCTTGAAGTTGCTGCAGTTCCCAGGCGTTTCCTGATTTTGTGTGTGTGCATGAACGCGTGTTCTCTCGAGTGTGTGCTCTTCATATGTGTGTAGGTGCATGTGTACATGAGTGCGTGTTCACATGTGTGTGCATGCGGAGGCCAGAGGCCAGCTTAGGTACCATTTCTTGGGCACCGTCAATCTTGGTTTTTTGAGACGGTTTCCCACTTGCTTAGATCTTTCCAGTAGGTGAGACTGGCTGGCCTGCAGCCCCAGGGGTCAGCCTTTCTCTGCCTCTCACGGGCTGGAATTAGGAGCAAATACTACTTGGAGGGAGGGCTAGACTGTGAGCCTTTGGGAAGGAGGGGCTGAGGGTCCCCCTCTGCCAGCCCCCCGACTGCCCTGTGTTCTTCTTCTCCCACAGCCTTCTCCCAGATGATGATCAGCTTTTATTATGGGGGCAAGCTGGTGGGCCAGGCCACCACCACCTGCCCTGAAGGCTGCCGCCTATCCCTGGGCCAGCCGGGGATGCCCAAGCTGTTTGGGCCAGATGGCCTGGAGCCTGTGTGCTTCCCGACGGCCGACACCATCCCCAGCGAGCGGCAGAGGCAGGTGACCCGGAAGCTGTTCGGGCACCTGGAGCGCGGCGTGCTCCTGCACAGCAACCGCAAGGGCGTGTTCGTGAAGCGGCTGTGCCAGGGCCGCGTGTTCTGCAGTGGCAACGCCGTGGTGTGCAAGGGCAGGCCCAACAAGCTGGAGCGGGACGAGGTGGTGCAGGTCTTTGACACCAACCAGTTCCTCCGAGGTCAGTCCCGAATGCCCTTGCTGTCCTTGCCTTAGGGTTCATGCCCATCCCCTCCCCTGTGCCACCCGCATCATGGGCCAAGTTTACTCTTGGCATGGCTTTGGCAGTGGTGTAGCTGGGGCCCCCTCTGAAAGCCTGACCTGCACATTCTCCCTGAGGAGTCCTGAGAGCCCTTGCCTCAGTTTCCCCTGGAGCCTTTCCTTTTGGAGTTAGTGAAGCTTATGGTTCCCTAGCCTGAGAACTGCTTAGAAATGCAGAGTCCAGGGCCTCAGCCAGCCTAGGCTCAGCTCCTTTTCCTTGGCAGGGTCTCTGGAGAGGTGGCACAATTCAGTGTGTCCATCCCTTGGCCTGTGGGTTGCATGCAGTCTAGGTTAGCTATGAGCGAGGCCCAGCAAACATTAGTAAACCTACTTAAAATACTATGACTTTTGATGTTTTGATTTTGCTATTTTTTAAAAACTCAATCACACAGTTCTCACTTAAATGTGAGTTCTTTATGGTATCGTGTTGCCATGCCATGCGAAGCAAACGTGTTAGCCCCTAAGACCCCTGGGTGAGATGCTCTGACATTCTGTGCGTAGTAGTGCTGTGCAGGGCTCATGTCCCCTCAGTGCCGCCCACTCGCTTCTGTGGCTCAGTGGGGAAGGTGTCTAAAAGCCTGTCTGAGCTTCTTCCAAGGCTGGGGTAAGAGTCAGTCGGTAGCAGCAGCCACCTGCTGCATGCCAGCTTCCGCTCTGTGCCCCTATGCCCCTTGCCTTTACCAGCCTGGTCCTGAGTTAGTATTGGGTCTGAGAACTCTTAGAGCAGCAGTTTTCAACCTGTGGGTCATGACCCCTTGGGCTTTGTCGAATGACCCCTTCACAGGGGTCGCCTAAGACCATCTGAAAACACAAGTATTTACGTTACGGTTCACGACAGTAGCAAAATGACAGTTATGAAGTAGCAATGGAAAGAATTGAGGGAAAAGGTTGAGGGGTCACCACAACATGAGGAACTGTATTAAAAGGTCGCAGCGTTAGGAAGGTTGAGAACCACTGGCTTAGAGGCTGAGGGTCCTGGGAGGGTAGGGTAGGGGCTGTGTGAGCTCAGGGGTGGCAGCATCTGGAGAGCAGCGGGGCCAGGCAGTGTCACCCTGAGCACACGGTAGCCCAAACCCTGCCCTGCTCAGCCCTAACACCCTGGCTCCTGGAGCTGGACAGCTCGGGAAGCCACAGGCCTCCACATCTCCAGCATGAGGCTGTGCTGCTGCTCCAGGTCTCCTCTCTGGGGACCTTTGAGAAGCTAAAAGAGGTGCCAGAAGGCCTGTTGCCCCCAAATCATGCACCTCCAGGGCAGGCAGGGACTGTGGCTCACAGTGTAGGGGGCGGGACTAGGAATTACACCATGGCAGCTGACAGGTATGGTGGTGCCACCCACAACCCCAGCATTTGAGGGACTGAGGCAGGGGAATCATTGAGAGTTCCAGGCCAGCCTGTGCTATGCTGTGTGAGCCTGCCTCCCTGAGCCAAACCCAGACAGACAGAAAGTTCCCCAAAATGTCTAGCGATTGCCACAGGTCCTTGCTGGCTTTTGGCCAAGGGGCCTCGGACATGTGGCTGTTGGGGGAGCCATGACTCCCTTCCAAGCCCTGCAAGCCTCGCAGCCCTGGGCGCTGACGACAGCCCAGAGGCTCACTGGTTTCTGTGTTCTCGCAGAGCTGCAGCAGTTCTACGGCACCCAGGGCCGCCTTCCTGATAGCAGGGTGGTGCTGTGCTTTGGGGAGGAGTTTCCGGACACCGTGCCCCTGCGCTCCAAACTCATCCTAGTGCAGGTGAGAGCTGCTGGTACCTGTCCTGTGCCCGTCTGCCCTGTGCCCAGGCATCGTAGCCCTCACTTTTATATGGGTCCAACTTTATCCCGGGGTGAAAAGCAGCAGCAAAGGACTGACTGCCTCTCTCCCCACCCCCTCCTCCTGTTCCTTCCTCTTCAGAAAATCTCCGCTTGTCCAGTGGTCCTAAGGTCCACGTGACGGATCACGGTGTGTTTGGCTGTGGTCAGAGCAGTAGCACTCTAGTATAATGGAGGCATTCTGAGCATTGGCTGGGCAGGTTGGCGGTAGCAGTCTTAGCAGTTTTTGGGAATGCTGCCTGCCTGGCTCCTTCTTGTCACTGGATCGAGGACCTGTAGTGGAGGAAGGGCCCCCTTCTCCTCCCACCTCTCTTCTGACTTTCTTCCCCTCGCAGGTGGAGCAGCTGTATGCCAGGCAGCTGGTGGAGGAAGCAGGCAAGAGCTGTGGTCCCGGTTCCCTGATGCCAGTCCTGGAGGAGCCCCAGCCAGACCAGGCCTTCCGGATGTTTCCAGATATCTGTACCTCACACCAGAGACCCTTTTTCAGAGAAAATCAACAGATCACTGTCTAAGCCTCTCTCTGGGCACCCCACCTCGCCTGTGATTCTGTGACTGAGAGAATTCTGCAACGGTGGGGACCCCCCTGACTAGGGCAGGCGGGTGTCCTCCACAGGGTCTCAGGAAGTCTAGAGATGGACAGGCTCCTGCTCAGGCAGGTATTGGAAGCCTGCAGGGCCTGTGATTACATTTGTTTCCTGCGTTCACCCCTTTACCACTAATGGCTCTTCTTTCTGCATGTCGAGGTGATTGTCACTTTGACAGTTTAAATGGGTCTGTGGCTATAGACCCACCTTTGTCCTCTGGAGCAGAGATTTATGACTTCCTCTGTTTGTGTGCCAAGAGTCTTTTCACTCTTCAGCCTTCTTTCTTTTCTTTTTTTTTTTTTTTTACTTCTGTAACGACGCCATCCCAGGTAACCTCTGGTTTTCATTTTTTAGACAATATTTGTATTTTCACATGCCATACTGTAAATCACTTTAGACCTTTCCTGTAAACTAGGCAGGCACTCATGTAAACAGGAGTGTGGACACTGCTTGTGGGTTTCACATGAACTTTGGTTCTGGCTAATCGATTCACGTGGCTCCATGTCAGCTAGCAGAGTTGGTGTGGGGCACAGTAGGACCAGGAACTGTGGAGAGGACCTGTTCATGGATAGCTTTCGTAGTCCCGCTCCACATCCAGTCCTAAGACCGAATGAAAAGCAACGTCTGAATTACACCATGGGGTTAGCAGTGTCCACCCGTGTGCTAGTGAAAGGTTCGTATCCTACACAGCACAGCAGAGGGTTCACCTGTAGCATGCTGAGCAGAAGCAGGGCAGGGAGCCGAGGGGTTGCTTGGGGGCTGAGGGCCATTTGTGCCCCCAGTGTGGCTGTCCAATCTAGTATCTAAGTAATTTAAATCAGTGGCTGCAGGGCCACCTCCAGAGCCTCTCCCTGTGGGAGTGAGCCACTGCCAAGGACTTCGTTTGGCTGTCTGTTCACAACAGGTACAGAGGCCAGGCAGATGCAGGCGTAGAGAGCCTCGTCTACCTTCTCGTGTTCTCTGGGGACAGGAAAGACCTTCTCTGTTTGCAACCATCCTGGATCCCTCCCAGTGGGCTCAGCATTCTGTGGTGAAGGGCAGGAAAAGTCTTACCTGTTGACTGGTGTTCTGAGAAGGGGGGAAAATGTGAGGGGTTGGAAGACAGTACCAGCCAGCTAGGAGCTGGACAGGCCGCACCTTATAGCTTAAAAGCCAAGGAACACTGTGAACTTCATGGCTGTTGTGTGAAGGGGATGAAGGTGGGCTGGCTCAACAGACGCAGTCACCGAGTGTGTGGTACATGCAGCCAGAACCCCCAGGGATTGCTTCTCCCCCTCAGCCAAAGCCAGGACAGCCCGTCTGCTGGCCGCTTGTCACCACCTGGTGCCTCAGTGAGTGCTGATACGCAAATCTGTAACCGGAATATTTATTTTTGTAATGATCTCATCCTTTATTAAAATAAGTCACTCTTTCGTAAAAGTAATGTTTGTTCCTTGTCTTATAAAATCACTCTCAAGTATAATTTTCATTAGATTCCAGGAATTTAAAAATTTTTATTAAACAAAACAAAAAAAAAAAAAAAAAAAAAAAAAAAAGAGGCAGGATATGACTCTGTAGCCCCAGGCTTTGAACTCATTGCAATCCTCCTGCCTCAGCCTCCTGAGTAATGGGAGTTTAGGTATGAGTCACTGTGGCTTTGAGGATTCTTAGAGGAGGAACTTTAAAGAAATAATGGACTGGGATTTTTAAGGATTTAGGGTTTTTGTTTTTGTTTTCTCTCAAGACAATGGCGGAAAGCTGGAGAGCAGACAAAGCATGGTGTTCAAGCAGAGGCGTATGAGGGTTTCAGTGAGCTCCGGCTGTGTGAGGTGCGGGAGGGCACGGAGGAAGGAGATTGCACTCATAGCACCCTTCTGGAAACTTCTGGCAGTGTGACTGGGATGGTTACCTTCCGTTCTCACACACTGCAACCAGTCCAGGGGCCATGCTGGTAGCAGCTGGAAGCTATGCCCCCACTGCAGGTGGCCACGGGCTGCCGGCTCAGGTGGGTGGATGTGCCCAGCACATCCTGCCTCTGAGGCAATGAATACTGTCTCTGCTCTCATGGTGTCCCAGAATCAGGGCCAGTTAGTCACAGCTCACAGATGTGGAAAGTGAGGCTGAGGTCCACACTTGGCCTGTGAAGCCTTCTGTGTTCTGGGAGCACACTTAAGCAGCCTCTGCAAGATCCTTGACCCGGAGGACAGCTGACCCCAGGGCAGACAGACATTTCTGCAGTGAGTCAAGTTAGTTCCGGAGAGCTCCAACCAGGAATTTTGTTTATAAGCAGCTCTTCTCTGAATTTGGAAAGTGAACCCAGTTCCAGTTTGTCTCTCAGAGTTCAACTCCTGGGCCAAGAATGGATCCTGACTCCCTGAAGGGCAGGAGGGAATTTGGAGTCTCTGAAGCCTGGGTCCTCTGGGGACTGTTGTAGTGAATAAAAAAATAAATGAGTATTGGGCTATATAATGTTTACTGTTAGCCCTAAGATTATCACGGTGGTATTATCTAACCCACTATCACAAATATTAAGACACAGACACCTGTTATTTTATGATTGCCTTACTTACTTACTTTGCGCCGAGCAGATGTTTTACTTACACTGTCTCAATATCCTCACCATCCATCTCCTAGCCCCCATCCAATGCCATCCACCTTAATCCTTTCTATCTGGACCGCCTTCCATCCATAATCCATGGTACTTGCTTGGGTTCTTCATCTGGGCCTTTTTATGCCATTATTCTCTTGGCCCATGTATATTTTTCTCCACACTAACCCATCATGGCATCCTTCTTCCTCCTCTCTTCCAGTCTATCTGTCTTGTGATTCTCTCTTGCACCTACAAGCCCATGAATCTTAGCCACACCTACCCCATTCTGCCCTGTCCAGGTAGAGGCTGTTTAATCAACCAATCAGATATATCTCAGGCAGGTTTATAAAACAATGATAGTTGCCAGTAACAGGCATCAGACCAACCTCCAACAAGAGACATGACTTAGGTCCTCAAAGGAAACTGACTTTCTCTGGATGGAAAGTGTTCAGCCCAGAAGGAAAGGCCAGCTATCGTCAACTCACTGTTGGGATCCTATAAAACCCTTAGGAAGGTCAACATGGCTCTGCCGTGCTGCTTAATTCGCTAATGCCAGCAAGATCTACCCTGGACCCTCCTTATACTGTCCGAATAAGACAATGACCCTAGAGACAAGCAAGGAAGAGCAGGGTGGGGTGGCACAAGGCCAGGGTGCACCTGCTATGTGAGGTCCTGGTTGGGCTGGTGGAGGGGGAGGGGAAAATGCATGGCCACGGGTCAGGCGAGGGTTCCAGCCACTCAGAGCTTTGCCAGCTGCTCATGCTTCTGTCTCTCAGTTTCCTCACCAGCAAGAGGGGTTTGATAGCACAAACTGAGGAGCAAACAGCTTCACAAGCACCAAGAGCTCAGAGCAGAGCCTGCCACTCAGTAAATCCCAAGAAATATCTGCATTTCCATTTATCACTCATTTATAATTAGGCCGTGAGTGATTGAATAGTTGCACTCTAAGTGTTAAATGATTACTGCTAATGAACTATGATGCCAATGGTTAAATACGCACGTGTGTCAATTAACTATGCCAATAATGAAATTGTTAGTGGGGTGTGGTGGTGCATTCCTGTAGAATCCCAGGACTCGGGACTCTGAGGCAGGAGGATAGTGAGTTCCAGACCATCCTGGGCTACACAGTGAAACACTGTCTCAAGAAACTAAACCAAATCAAAACAACAATAATGGGATTAATACTCAATTGTTTGGAGTGATAAATTTATGAGTGTTTATATGGTTCCCTTTAATTATGCACCATGATCTAATTGTATGTGAATTACTGATGTGATCATTTCAGAAAGCCACAATTGTGAACAGCAATGAAGTTATTAAAAATCTCTCATGAAGTTACTTATACAGCGTCTGTGCTGGCCTAGAAGAAAGGCCTGTCTTGCTGGCCTCCCATCCCAGCTTCCTGCCCAGAGCCTGGAGTTCTGCAGGACCCTGCTTTATTATTTGTTTGTGTGTGTTTGAGAACGTAAGGCAGGCCTCAAGCTTCCCGGAAGGAGGATCAAATGATCCTTCCTTCCCCAGCCTCTCCACCACCTGTGTGACAAGGTGGCTCTGATGGTCACTCAGCGGGTGGTGGGAGAGGCCTGTGAGGCATCGCCTGTGAAGAGTGTGGAGCCCTGTGATGGGAAAAAGGGGCCCGAGGATGGCTCAGAGCTGCTGAGAGGTGTGAGATCCCTGTCCAGCCCTCTCCTGACGAGCAGTGGACACATGAAATTGATTCCACGGGTTTCTTTAAGTGGTCGTACAGACTTGTACGCCCCACGGGACGAGTCACTTACAGAACACCGAAACAGTGTGCTTTGTTCAGCCTTTCCATGTGGAGGGAGGGGCAGGAGAGGGAAGGAAGGGCAGAGTCTGGGGTCTAGGATCACTTATGGTGGGACAGGGGAGGGAACAGGCTTTCGTGGAGCTGCCTGGTAAGCAGGGTCCTTCCGGTGCCTCGCTTGTGCGAGTGGAGGACCGAGTTCTGGGTTGACGCTGGCTTGGAGCTGTGTTACTGAGTGGGACCAAACTCAAAGCTATTGGCATTATGGGTCACACCCTTGCTCTAAGGGCATGGTGGTATAACACCCCCTGTTTTGCTTTTGTCTGAGGTATACAAAAACAGGAAACTTAAAAATTGCCTGAATCCCAAAGAAACGCAGGAGGGATCCCCACAGCAGCTCCTTGGACAGCTTTGGGGGAGAAAAATCGGCATCTCAGCTGCCCCAGATGTCCTTTTTCCTTCCTGCCTGTGGCTTCTGCAGGGGTCTCACAAGCTCCTCCAGTGTCCTGCCTCTGTCTGGAGTAAGGTGTTGAGCAATGCAGGTTAGAGATCAGGGGGCAAGAATAAAGCAACTGTTGCCAGGAATAAGCCAAGAATCTTTTTTCAAAAAATAATTTATTTAATTGTTAGATTTTATGTGCACTGGTATTTTGCCTGCATGTATTATCTGTGGGTGTCAGATCTTGGAGTTACAGACAGTTGTGAGCTGCCATGTGGGTGCTAGGAATTGAACCAGGGTCCTCTGGAAGAACAGTTAGTGCTCTTAACCACTGAGCCATCTCTCCAGCCCCTAAGCCAAGAATCTTACGTTGGGAGATCTTTCTTGATTATCCACACAGGCCAATGCCCCAGTGTTGTGTCAGTGCCTGTAGAGAGCAGGCACGTGTGTCAGAGCCAGAGAAGACACGCGACACCACAGAATGGGATTTAGTAGGGCTATGATGGCCGGAAGATGGAAGCCAGGCCATGAGCCAAGGAAGGAGGGGGCTCTGGAAGGGAAGCCGACAGAAGGTTCTAGAAGAAACTGCCACCCTGTTTTGTAGTTCTGACCTTGAGGACCGTCTGGGAATGAGCGTGTGCTGTTTTCAGTCACCACCATGGCTGGAGCAGTTACACAGAATGTCGACTTTCAGAGGGAAGACCCAGGACCCCCGGGAAGGATGTTAGGGTCCTGTGTTTCATGGTGGGTCGCACCACCCCTCTTTCCTCCAGACTCAACTTCCCCTCAGCTGCTTCTCTTTCATCAGCAGCTTGGCCTTCTCACAGGAGAGCCACACTGCCCCCAGTACTTGGGGACACTGAGGTGGAAACCCCAAAGTTGAAAATAGCCCTGCACTCTCGTTGGTTAGGTTTCTGCTCTCAGCTGCCTCGGGGCAGCCGGCTGAGAAAGCCACTTCCTTCTGCCAGCCTCACTGTCCATATACTGGTATCTCTCTTCTGTCCTCTTCTGTCCTGCTGAGCTCCCGGACACCTGGGGCTGGCCCAGAGGCAGGGCTCTGTGGAAAGATTTTCCCAGTGTTCCTGACCTGGCTGTGGCAGAAGTTTTGGGGCCAGGGGTTGTCGCCTCTTTCTGTCTTTTTTGTTCTAGGGTCTTCCTTGCTCTCAAGTTCAAGGTGGTGTTTCCTTTCTGAGGGTGTGAGCTCCAACCACGATGGTGTCACGGCCAAGAACTTGTTTCCACTCAAAACCACGGGCAGCACAGGCCTTTCTTCCCCCCCCCCCCCCCGCCCATTTCTCAAGCTTGATCTTGAGGGCTAGTTGCCACTGGAAAATGTAAATGACATGATAGGCCATAGTTTGCCTGAGGTGTGTGGGAGGAAAAGGATGCTTTTAAAGTGGGCTTTGCAATTCGTCTCATTTCACAGGGCTTCTTTTAAATGCCAAGAAGGCAAATGGTGCCCTGTTCATGTGACTCAAAGACAGAGCTTCGGATGATGGCCTACCTCTTGCTCCTCACCACAGAGCAGGCCGGAGATGTTTGTGGAGTGAAACGGATGTGTGAGAGAGGAGCCGCTGGTTCTGACGTGACTGGAAGGTTCTAGGACCCGTGGTCATCCTCTTCTGCTAAGTCCGACCCATGTGCTCACTT